ACCACATGAGCCGTTTTAAAGCCCAGGGTCAGTCAATCGATAAAAATCGGTAGCAATCAATTAACGATTCATAACGGAAATCGGTGAAAATTGATGAATTAAATAATAATTGCTGTGTAAAATCGATATTGATTTTTCATGATTTTAAGTACGATTTATAATGGAAAACCCCCAAAGTTCTTTTTTGGCATAAGTTACCTTAGATAGTAAAGCTGAGAAAACACATCCACGAGTAACAACTACTCAACAAACATGAAAATGAGAAATGTGGAAACTACAGACACTAGTTTCTCTCTAAAACCCTTTATTTTGTGCATAATTAAAAAACAGTTTGGTTTAATTATTACATTCATTTCTCCCAGGCAAGTATCAGGAGAAATACAACCTTAGATAAAGATTTCCTAGCCTGTTGTCAGACATTCCCTCAAGTCGAAGGGATGTCTGAAATTCAGGTTAAAAGATTTCACTGTTTTCCATTATCAATTGATAACAATAACTTATCGATTTCAATTTTTCTCTTTTGGCTACTCCAGGATGTAGCTACGCCCAGAACTACTACAATAATGTTATTTTGAAAGGGGTCAGGTCTAAATCGTTAAAAACTGGGTGCCTAAAAAACCTGGCCATCACAAGAAGATTTTAAACCTAGTTTCAATGAAAGGATAAGACTTTTTTTAATTTTTTTTTTAAAAAGTGATAATTGTTTGACCCTTTGACTCTCAATTGCAACCCAACTGACAACAAATTCACTGCTTACATGAAATCTGTTTTCATTTTTGGATGAACAGATGAGGAGATCTCAATATAACTTGAGGAATCAGTAAACTCAAAATATCTTGATAAACAAAACGAGTGTGTCTGATTTCTACTGATTGATTGATCAGATTTACTGATTTTTATTGATAAATTGATACCAATTTTCATTGATTGACTACTCCAGGTTAGGAGGCAATGGCAACTACATGTAGCAGTAATAAACCCTTTACATTACAATACCAGTACAGTCAACCAAGAGTCACAGATTTTGTAGGTAAACATAACAAGACAAAATCTATAAGTAGATAGTAATAAGTACTTTGTGACAGCACTGAATACTCCTCTGATGCAAGCCATCTGCCTAGCCACAAATGCTTCAGTAAACAGGACACCTCTCTCAAGCTGATCAAGTTGACCATGGATGATTGATCCCAACCGGGCCTCAACAACCTTAGAAGAAAAAACAAGCAAATGTATTTAAAGGAAGACTGTCAGACACATCTGTAACAGAAGTGCTCTTTTCCCATTAATCAATTTATCGCAAATGTGTAGATAAACACCAAACTTCTAAAAAAACCCCATAATCAGTAAGTTCTGGTAGCAAAAAATAAATAGAGCTATCACAATGCTAACAGCAAGCACAGTACAAGTGTTCAGTTTCCAAAAGTCATGTTTGCAACTTGCATGCTCCCCACAATTCAATTTGTTTCCATGCAATTAATTTTTATTAAGTATCACTGTCAATCTCTCTTGGGACTAACAATCAACCCTCAAGAAATTGAATGCTAAAGTTGAAACAAATTTGTGGGGAAAACAATGCACTGTGGGGATGGTACAATTCACAGATACTGTGCAGTTGTATCTAGACTTTCTCAAAGCCCATTTCCGGTTTCTGCTGGTTGGGTGGTCAGTTGCGACTGCATCGCTCGTCTTCATCGCTTGCTTTTGCTCACTTTGCTAGCATCCCTTGCACCTTCAGGGCGATCATGCAGTTGATTTGTACTGGCAAGTCTAAGTGATATCCTATTAGATTAGTCTAAAATGTAGAAAATTCTCCACAGGAGATTTTCTTAAATTTATTGCTACAGTAAAGAGGAAAAAATTTTGCCCAAAAGAAAGAGAAGAAGCCCCAAAAAGAGTTCTTACGCATTATTACAGGAAACCAAAGCCCTAACTCATTGGGTAATTATAAGACACTGCTGATGCTAACATGTCGGTAAAATGTCAGTACATGTGTGTGGTATAAATATTAATAAAATATACAATTATCAAAATTATTGAAAAATGTTAGAAATTACAGTACATTACTTTTTTGTTAGGTAGATATAACCCAAACATTAATCTAAGTAATGTTCGACATGTACCTCCAGAAGGAAATCAGTTGCAAATGAAAATGTTTTGCTGAGCTCTGAAATAACCACTTGTCCAGACTCTTGAAGAGTGTCATTGATCTCCTCTGCAACTTGGTCCAAGTAGTTACTAACATCACAAGAAAAAATTTCCATTTTATCACATATACCAATAAAAGTACAAACTCACTAGGGGATAGCTAGTGAAAGGCAAATGAGGCACTTGCCTTTGCCTAGATTTCAAACAAAATTAATTTTTTGAAAAAAAATTCTGTGAAAGAATTATTTCCAATCCAACCAGATTAATTCTTTTCAAGAAATATTTTAAGTAAAAATATTCTACATGTAAATAGTGTTTCAGAGCTAAATTTGTTTTCAAACGTGGTGGACATGTCCTCAGACATCCTATTGGGCAACATTAGATTTTTTTCATCTCTATACCAGCAAGAGTCTGACCATGACCTTAAACAATCATACATGTCTGATAACAGGGTTCTCATTAAGTTTTAAATTAGACAGCTAGGATGTAAAAGTAAGCGGCTTGGTAACTGAGTGCTGAAGGCAATTTCAGGCTTTCACTCTCTCACTTTACCCTATTTACCCAAAACATAGAGGGCTCAAACCTCCAAGTAGCCAGTTTTTTAGCCCACTGCCGGCACTTGAGGAGAACCCTGCTGATATCCACATTTTTGAGTAGTGTACCTACAGATTATCCCTCTAACTAGTTATTATAATAATCACTCCCAGAATGTCGCGTTCACAGTGTTGTAGATGCATGGCGTTAGGCACTGGAGTTCGCCAGATCAACCACAGTGAAGCACTAGGTGGTCAGCAAGATTCAATGCATTTATTGAAATCAGGCTAAAATCATGACACAGCAAAAGGATCACTTCACTTGCTTTTGGTGGATGGTCACATGATGTTTTTTATAACATCATTTAAATTAGTTAATAAAAAACATTACTTCCCCTCTAATACCAAATACTACTATATACCATCAACAGGGTTGTGATTTAAGTACTCGTGATCTAGAATGGTCTATCAGATTTAACAGGTTTCCTAGAACAATGTATAACATTCCAAATATAAAAAAGCTTGGAATGAAAGTACTCTCAAACAGGGTATCAAAATTGGACTACAGTGTAGGTCTAGTATGGAATGTAATTTTGTGCTAAAAAGGGGTTGAAAGTTAAAGACCTGGCTGGCACATACAGTACCCCTCCAACACAGAAGGAATTGGAATGTGCTTATGGCATTTAACATTTCCTTTAGTTTTTAGTAAACATAATGCATTCTTCTTACTTGTCAATTAGTTCTCCTTGGACAACAATAAGGTTCTTGTCATGTTTCACAATATCACTGACTTTGTTTTCAATATGACTTAGGTCCACACCAATAATCTGATGAGAAAAAATCCAAATAAGCCATTGGCTGACTAAAGTAAGAATGAAAGCCACAGTTATATTCATGGATGACTCTTACATTTACAAAGTCCACAGCATATGTGGACCTGCGAAGTGAGGGACATTGGATTAAAAAAGACAGCCATGATTCAAGGATGGATCTTGATGTTGTTAGTTGCTATTTTTTGTCTTATAATGATGTTTCAAGGTCATGATAGTTGTTGGAATTTTACCTTCATAGGACCTACAGATAAAATTTTTCTTTTTTACCCTTTTGGTATCTGAGCATGAGCCTGCGATAATTTTGGGCAAGTTAATGCACTGATGTGATAGGGACCAATAGGCATTAGCTTCCACTGCCTGTCAAAAATAATCTCCAAAATTTCCATTGACTGTGATCTCAAAATGCAGGAAATGGCATCTTTGAGGCACATATCTTAAATTTTCTAGCCAAGGGAACATACCACTGCACCCCCTTGTGACTTGCGCCACAAACCTCCCTTAAATTTCAGTTGACAGAGATGGAATCTCTGAGAGGAAAGACTCTCAGTTATAAACACAGCTTACATGTGAATAGTTGTGAAAAGGCCTGAACAGAATTTGAACCCACGACCCTACAATACTAACTTACAGTATTTTTCTGACCAACTGAGCTATCAAAACACTCCAACTAGAACCGGTCATGTTTTCATATAAAATGATGGATTCATATTAATTAATTGTACTAAGAGATGACTGCATATAAGAGCATATTTAAAAATCATATGATTAAAAAGCAGAATAAGGATTTAATAGAATAAATCATGCAAGGGTGTTTGAAACCGGGGACCCCCTCCCCCTCAACTCCCCCTCCCCACCCGGATAGGTGGCACGTAAACTGTCACTTTTATTAGCGTGTGTGACTAGAAACGAAATAAAAACAACAGATCAATCAAATTCTAATATGAAATATATATAAAACACACTTTTCCTTATTGAAAATAAGATATTATGCGAGTTTTAAAAACACGTCATCACTTCAGAGAATTCACGTGGTAACACATACTTTCTTACCTGTTGTAAATCCACCAAATTGACTCTCCCTGTTAACAAAAGATGAATAAAAAAAAACACTATTGCGTCTTTTCAGATCGTACCGACAAACGAAAGATCAGTTTATAACATTTTAATACCGCCGTGCACAAAGAGTTCGTCTTTGATCTCTCTTTCAAGTTGCTGTGGGGTCAAATATTCTTTTCCATCTGTTGTATATATCACTTCCACGAGCCCAAGACTGATCAATTTCTGAACTATCTCGATACAGTTTCTTTCAGAAAGCTTATGTGCCGTGCTGCTAAGCTGAGCACGTTGAAAATCAGCTGCTAATCGTTTTATCTCTTCCCAATCCGCCATGTTTTGAAATTTTTATTCAGATGATCATGCGCCTGTGATACTTCAGTGGAATCTGAAGTAAGATTATGCGCAGAAGTCCTCATGCTCTGTAGATTTCAAGATGGCGGCTATTTCGAAGCAGGAATATCTGAAACGTTATTTGTCAAATTCCGATAGTGGAAAAAAGAAAAAGAAGAGGAAGATCCCTAAAGTAGCTTCAAAACGTCCAACATCCATCCTCGTGGATGATGATATAACACTTGAAGACGTAAAAGTGAACCATGAAGAGAATGAAATGAACGAATTTGAAGTTGATGCCGATGAGGCACCAGCGGTTTATGAGGACGATGGCGTTACTAAAATCTCCCTTGAGACTTTCAAAAAACGCGAAGAAGATCAGAGAAATAAGTGGGCGCCGATCAACAAAAATACGCAACCATCACCATCTAAAGAGGCCGGAGAGAAATCGAATTACGACAGTGACCATTCACCTCCAAGAATAACGAGAAGGCGAAGGCAGGACACACCAGATTTGTCACCACGTGGTGGTTTGATGGCTAATAGCCCTGATCAATCACCTCTGAGGAACAGATGTAGGAGGATAGAAGCTGATAACAGCCCACCAAGATCTAGAGGAAGACATGATTCTGGTGACTCAATTCCAGAGGAAGCACAAAATCAGTTACATGTTCATGACAGATCTACTACATCAAGAATCCATAATGACTCTCCTGACTTATCCCCTCTCCGGTCAGGACCTAATACTGGCTTTACTGTAGGAAGGGTTCGAAATGACTCTCCTGATCTTTCCCCTCCAAGATTAGGATCAAATAGAGACTCTGGTGGCAGGAGGGTTCGAAATGACTCTGTTGACCGCTCCCCTCCCCGATCAGGAAGAAAAAGAGACTCTACTGTAGGGAGAGTAAGAAATGATTCTCCTGACGTTTCCCCTCTTCGGTCAAGATCACATAGAGACTCCTCTGCAAGGAGAGCTCAGAGTGACGCTCCTGACCTTTCCCCTCCTCGGTCAAGATTAAATAGAGGCACTGATCATTCACTAGCTCGAAAAAGAACAAACAGTGACTTTGAATCACCTCCAAGGAAGTATGGCAACAGTGATTCAGATCAGTCACCTCCAAGAAGACAAAACAGACCTGAAAGAGGAAATAAATCAAGTGACATTAGAAAGTCAGGATCTGAGGACACAATGGCAAGTGGTAAGTGTGCAGAGTATTATTGGACAGTGGAGGGGTGCATGGAACAAGGTCTTAAGTGACTCCTAATGTAGAATGAATTTATTCTCCCTTTGGTTCACAAGCTAATACCAGGCAAATTGAAAGGAGAAATCCTTGTTTTGTCTATTAAAAGTCATCCCCACCCTGAAGGTTTCACCTACCTGTACTGATATAACATTTTACAGCTATACTTTCTTATTACGATTATACCTTTTCACAACTTTTTGAGTCATTTTATTCTTTGGCATAGCGAATCGCAAAAAATTGTAAGATTTTACAATTTTTTAGTTTCGACAACTCTGCTTGTATTTCTGAATTATTACAATATTAGAAATTAAATTGGGCAAAATTTGCCTTGGAGTTTTCTAATAATAAAATGATGATGAACAGATTCTTGCTAGGAACACCTTTTGAGTAAAAATTCTAAAAATCTCGTGAAGTTCATTAAGTTTAAAGACTGCAAAGCAGGTCAACAACTTGATACTCCAACATTACATCTACAACTTCCTACAAAGGAAGGCTGTTGTCTCTGGTTTTCTCATTTTGATAATAATATAATAAACTGTTCAAACACTACAGTAACAAGCACTTAGTATTGAGTTTCTATTGTTGTAATGTCGATGTTCATGTTTTTTTACCCAAATGTACAGGACAGAAGGCTGGTCTGCTCACTGCTAGTGACCTGAAGATAGACAATGAAAGGAAAAGAGTGCAGGAAGCAGAGATGTTTTCCAAGATGGACCCCTCTCTATCTGGGAAGGGTTCAGAAACAGTGTACCGTGATAAGATGGGAAGGAAAAAGGACATCAAAATGGACAGAATTAAGAGACGAGACGAGGAACGCAAAGAGATGGAAGAGAATGAGAAATTCATGGAATGGGGAAGAGGGTAGGATTTTGTGTACTGTATTTATTTTCTTCAACCATTTTCAGAGCAAGTTCTTTAAACAGTATGAATGTGTATGGCCGCACAGCTGAAGTCCCTTCTACATACTCCACTAATGCACAGAATGGGAAACAGTAGAAATCAATGTCATTTTGTCCCTGCCTGATAAAACACAAATTCAAACAGGATAATTATTACTTTGAATCGTGAATGGAAAAACTGTCAGGGATGAGTGACACTTGTACTTATGTAGCTGATGAGTTGATATTCCATAAAAAAATGTCGATAAGTGTCAAATGTTTTAAAAAACAGACGTTTTAGGTGAGGGTCACCCAAAATACCTGTTTTTTAAAAACATTTGACACTTTTTGAATTTTTTTTTTTATGGAAGATCACCTCATCAGCTAAAACTAATGGATAGCTAATGGTCTACACCATTTAACAGAATATCTTCCCAAAGAAGGTCAAGATTAATAATTTTGTAGGGTCGGCATGTTCCACTTTTCATCCCCTCCTGTTATTTTTTGCACATACCCCAACAGCTCACACACTGCTCACACAGGCTAAAGGTAATGACTTTTGAGTGATATTTTGGTGCAAAAGGCTTCAACGCTAAAGATACATGTAACCCCGTTATGTGTTGCTTAAAAGTGAACCAGCTTACATCGTAGTTGTGTATACCATAAGCATAATTGATTTCTTTTGTTGTCAGTAAAAATTTCAAGTCAATCAAGCCTAGCACTGAATCCTTTAAAATGGAGTTTTTTTATTAAAAAACTAAGTAGTTAATTGATTAACTAATTCATTGATTCTGCCCAAAATAAAAATGTAACATACTAGAGTGATTATTCAGAATTTCCATGTATGCAACTACGAGTTTAAGCTAGCTGTCAGGGGATGGGGGTGAGGGAAAACTAGAGCCCTCCTTTCCCTCTCTCTCCCATCCCTCTCTTTTTCCAAGTGCTTTGTTGCAAGTACTTGTAACTAATCTCTTTTTTTAAAATAGGAGCAGTTTTGTTTCTTTTGTTTGTTTGTTTGTTTGTTTTTTCAGGTCTTTTGGTTTAGTCATATTCCACAGATCAAAGTATAGGTCACTGCACTATGGTGGCCTAGAGGTGCCATAGGGATTTTGTTATATTTTCAGCTTTTTTCCTTTATATGAATGGTTTTAGTTATTTCATTTTGTTTATTTTATTTTATTTTCTTCATTTTATTCTATTTTTTATTTTCATTTCATTTCATTTCGTTTTCAAAACTATTTAAAATGAAAATGAAAATGAAAGGTGTCTGTCTGGTGTGCTCGATGACTTGATAAATCATATGTGGATCACCTTTAAATCGGGAATGTGCCTCATTGAGTGACAAGATGGCCCCTGCTCACCGGCCAAAACATCACAGGACAATCGTTTGCATTCCAATGAGGGTGAGAAATGTTTCTCACAAGCCGCTTTGATCCCTTCAATGGAGAGTTCATCCTCATCGTACTGCACAAACTCGCGAGGCCCTACCCTAGTATACTTTTGGGCTTTGCCGGATACTTGTGAGCTCAGTCTCTGCACTACCAATTCTTGTCTTTCAAGAATGTTGCCTTTTTCGTTTTTCTGCGCACCGCCATCTCCAGTTTTATACCTCTTTGCTTTCATCTCGTTCTTAAATGTGCCCCAAGATTTCTTTCTTCTGTCCGCCATGTTGACTTGTCACAAGGTCAAGCCCACAAGGCATCTTGGTCTATGGCAGTTTTAGGCCACCGTCAAAAATTTTTCAATTTGTTTTAATTTCATTTACTTTCAATTGACTTCGCTTTGAGATTAATTTCATTTAACACAGAAGGTTTTGATTTCCTTTCATTTTCATTTTAAATAGTTTTGAAAACGAAATGAAATGAAATGAAAATAAAAAATAGAATAAAATGAATAAAATAAAATAAAATAAAATAAACAAAATGAAATAACTAAAACCATTTATATAAAGGAAAAAAGCTGAAAATATAACAAAATCCCTATGGCAGCTCTAGGCCACCATACTGCACAATCATGAAGACAGATAAAAGCTCTCCTCTGTAGCTCTAAATAATAATAACTAAAATTTGGTTTTAGATAGTGTATTAGTGTATACTATTAATTTGGCTTAGTTACATTGTACCCATCAGTATGAAAGTAACCTGTGGAATGCGACTTGTGAAAAAAAACCTCCCTCCCTCTCAAATAAAACTTTCATGGGCAGGGATTTGGATTTAAGCAGAAGTGTTTCTTAAATTTATGTCTTTCTTTCCTCTCTATTTGTTATCAGGGTGACTCAAACAAAACAAAACAAGGAAAAAGTTGCTGATTATTTACACGAGGTTGATAAACCACTTGCTCGGTACCGTGATGATAAGGATCTTGAGATGATGTTAAAAGAAAAAGAGAGAGAAGACGATCCAATGTTAGCTTACATGAAGCAAAAAAAGAAAAAACAGGACATCAAGGCAGGAAAGAAAGGTGGGACTGATGCCACTCTGGAGTTTTCAACTGTTCGAGCGACTTTAGTTTCTCTAGCTCTTATTATTTTAAAGGGGCTGTAAGTGTTATGGCTGTCTAGTCCATTTTGTTTATAGTAATTAATTGTGTCAATAACAAAATGCTTCAATTTGATTGGTTCTTAACAGTCCATATTTATAGATTATTTTGCTATTGTAACTCCTGTCTGATTTGACCTGTCCAATTACCAGGAGCTTGTAATCGGACAGGTCAAATCGGACAGTTAGAGAACCAATGAAAATCAACTAGCAAATGCCACTAGCCAATGAAATTTAACTACATAGCATGTGACAACCCATCAACATCAGTGAAAAAATAGCAATCAGGTAAGATTTTCAGCTTCAACTGGAAAAGAAAAATTTTTAAAACTAGCTGGTCCAATGACTTCTATTTACATAAATAAATATTCCGAGACTGAGATTCTCCCTTTTTATTATTGACAGAATTAATTGGTTATATGACTTCGTGTCGTACAATTACCATTACTAATCCCAATTACACATAGATTATTGCTATGGAACTTGAGAAATTACTTGTGAATGACAAAATCACAGCTTTGTGTCAAACAAAGATGTCTCAGAAGCCTTATATCAAACATTACAAACGACAAAAATGAACTTTGAAAAACTGTCAGGCTAACAACTTTTCAAAAACCACAATTGCAGTGCGTTTCAGTCCTCTTCACGTTTGTCCATCCGTGCCTCCTCAGTTTTTATTTGCGGTGTTATTTTATGCCATCTTGTTACTTTTTTATCAGTTTTTTTTAACGTTTCATTTAAATTGGTGACAGTTCCCACTGTTTGAATTTTGGTGAATTTCGTGGCACGGCTCTTTTAATGAAAGCACAAACTAGATGTCAATTTAGAGGGAGGGGAGGGAATAATGGGGAATTATTTGCTTGCCCACCTTTCCCCTCCCCCCACCCACCACCTCTATACTTCTTGCCCGCTGTTTTTGTGTTTCTTCCTACATATTTGCATTGAGAAAAATGGAATGGCTGTTAATAATCTGCTGGGAATTAGAGCTGTAAAGATGCACTACGATGCTTCCGATAACTGCGATATTTCTTCCCACGATATGAATACACGTATCGGTATTTAAACAAAATATCGTGATATTACGACACAATAAAATACATAGCCGTTTTGAGGCGATTTATGATAGAAAACATACCTGTATCATAGTAGAAACCACCCCTGCTTTGCTTGCTTCAATTGGTGAACAGTCACGTGCTTATGCACACTTATTACATGTATTTGTCACTTTGTCAGTGGTACAGGCTTGTGCGCCCACAATGTACATGTAACGTACATGTATCGTTGCCCTTATGGTATCGTGGAAAAACGTCGTTTTAAAGGGGCTGTGTCAAGGCAGTCCCCTTCATTTTGTTTAATTTTGCCAATTACTCGCCCTCAATCACTATGGAACTTAAAGTAAGCAAAGAAATTACATGTGTATGACAAAATCAGGGATCCGAGACAACCAAATATGTCTCCTGAGCATAATTTTTGAAGTTGCAAGCCGCACGAATCAACTTTGAAAAACTGTTAGGTTGAACAGTTTTCAAAAAACCATAATTTCAATCCGTTTCAATCTTCTTCAGTTTTGCCCATCCGTGGCATCTGTTGTTTCTGTTGTGTTATTTTAACTTCTCTTTAATGTTTTAAGCGGTTATTTTTATGTTTCTCGTAATTTAACGGGCATTTTTTAATTTCCTAATTTGGCTGAATTTCCTGACACTGCTCCTTTAAGTTGAGAAGTTTTTCAACTGTGTCGTATGATGTGATTGTTACTAGGCCAGGACCCAGTTATTCAAAAGGTGGATAACTCTATCCACTGGACAAATCTCTATCCACTGGATAACGCAATTGGTTTCCCAATCACTAATCCAGTAGAAAGGGATTTATTCGCTCAATAGCGCTGTCCCGCGTTTGAACAATTGCCGCCAAGTTTAATTAATTTTCTCTTTTTCAGAAAAACCAGTGTACAAAGGACCCGAGCCTCCCCCCAACAGGTTTAACATTCGACCGGGGTACCGTTGGGATGGAGTAGATCGGTCAAACGGTTTCGAGAGGAAACGATTTGCAATGCTGGCCAACAAGATGGCAACACAAACCCAAGCGTACAAATGGAGTACAGAGGACATGTGATGTGAAATGTGTACTGAGTGTGTTACAACTCCGTTATTTTTCTATTCATCTCCACCAGTAACAGGCTCTGCAACAAGAGTCCCACAAATAAACCCCTCTTGGTGGCTGCTACGTCGAAAGAGATATCCCGGAGAACAGGTGGTCTTACCCGGGAGCGAAAAAAAAAAATTGGTCGTGCGCGAAACGCGAGAGGTTGCCCTAGAGGTTTTTCCCGCCTCTAACGCTCCAGGTGCGTCTCTCGTTCTCATGTTTCGTGCGGCCCGGATCATGTCTGCCACTCCGCCCCTGGATAAATACAGTTTGTTGTGCGGTCTAATTGGAAACCAATGACTGCAACCTAGAGTTCGCCCGTAAGATGAACAATTACCGGAATGCGAAGCTTAGGGCTAACGTAATAGATTGAGGATTATGTAAGAACGTTATGATCCGAAGCTTTTGGTGTGTATTTATTTTGTAAGCATCCGATTTATTCCCTAAACATATGTTCGTCGATATTTGGCGTCGAGTTGGTACCACCTATGTTTTCTTTGGAGAATTTAACTCCTCGTTTTACTTAAGAAGACCACAGGAAAATAACTCGCTTGGTTGTAATTTGTCGTACATGTTGTACCACAAGTCAAAACAGTCGATGTAAATAATTATTTCTGACAACAAAGTTGACTTCAGGGGTTTATAGTCATTTTTTTTAGTTGACTTAAGTTTACTTCAGCCGTTTTTTTATATTTATTATGTCAATCAAAGACGATACGAGAACTTTCAGTCAAAAATATCAGCAATATTTTTTTATTGTAGAAGCGATTTTCTTTGGAAAGTAAGGCTATATAAAATATCTACGAGCAATGAAATCGGAATATTTCAGATTATTCCTGAATGACAACAAGTTCCTCAGCCATCGCATTAAAAACAAAAAAGCTGGTCATAACATCAATGCACCTGTATTAATGACGGAGTCACCTTAAAGAAGAAAGTTACAGCACCAGAATTTAATATTGCAAAAAAGAAAAAAAAAACTGGCATCGATTCTATCAATCGAGACGATCCAGACGAATATATGAAAAGCAGACTAAAGGAAGACTTCAATTGCCTGTTCCAGGCTCTCGATCGCGCTTTCTCAATTTCGCGGACCCGACTATCTTGGAGCCTGGAACTGGCTATATAGGTGATTGTAATCGCCCGAATCATCCGGATTGTCCCGCAACGCTGGGCTTTAAGGACTATATGACATTTGCATCCTGGTTGGAATTGTTACATTAATACTCGATTTTTAAAACGATCACAACACTTTTTAATTGTACGCGTTACATCTTCGTCAGTTACAAAATAATTTGAAAATAAGTTCGAATTTATAAACCTATAGAGGCATTCATAATTAACTATGATTACATGTAAACAGTAATTACAAAGAAAAAAACGGAAATATAAACAAAACTTAAAGTGTAAGTTTAACATACTCTCTCCAATGATCAAAAGACTACGGTTTCAGCTGGTGGGGGGGGGGGGGGGGCCCCCCCCTTTTAAAACAAGAAACCTTTTTTTCAGACCCTTTTTTATTTTTTTTTTCACAAAAAATTTTTTTTTTTAAAAAAAAATAAAGGAATTAAAATTTTTTTAAAATTTAATTAAAAAAAAACATCAATTTAACCCAAACTTTTAAACCGTTCATCCTTTTTTATACCTAAAACAAGAAGAACATAACAAAAAAAAAAAGTAGTTAAAAAAAAAAAAAAAAAAAAAAAAAAAAAAGAAAAAAAAAAAAAAAATTAAAGTTGTTGTTTAATATCCCCCCTCCCAGAGTCAAAAACCCTCTGTTTTGGGGGGGGGGGGGGGGGGGGGGGGGAGCCACCCCTTTTAAGACAAGAGACCTTATTTCATGACCCTGATTCATTTCGTTTTGCACAAGAAATTATGTTTTTTAAACTAACATCATGGAATTAGAGTTTTTTTAAAATTACATTACATATACCACTCATGTAGACCGCACATTGTGAACCTTCACACTCTTTTTAACGCTTTCAGTCCAAAAAAAAAACCATTTTCAAGACACTAAATAGTGATTGTTTACCATTTACATGGGCAAACCGGTCAGGGAAAATGGAAGGCAAAATTCAGAAGTGATAACCTTCATCCCGGAATCGTGTTTACCATTTGTACAAACAGTTCTTTTTTTACCGAAAAATAGCGGAAAAAGCCTGAATATGCTATTACGAATTTCCATTTTTTAACATTTACATGTTTCGTACCCCCCGGAAATTTCCCGCCCGAGCAACATGAAAAGGTCGTCTTCCATTTACTTTGCGACCGGATTTTCCGGAAACGTCTTGCAAATGGTAAACAATAGGTGAAATTGCATACCCTTTTTAAGACTCAGAACCCTGAAAGCCATACCCTGTTCAGCGGCGCAGTTGTCCCTTTCGTAAACCGTCGCTGCCATTTTTAAGACACCTAGAAAATTTTTGACCTGTTATTGAAAGTTTTTCTGTTAAAAAGAAACTAAATCGCAACCCAGGGTCGAACCTGAACCTCGAACCCAGACCTTTTGTATCCTTATCTCTCTCCATTAGCACCACACTGCCACACCGACCCGCCAAAATTCCGAAACAATTAAGTACATACACTAGCAAACTGTCTTTCTTAACTGTTGCATCAATAACAGGTGGTTTTAGCCCTTTCTATAAGTTTTCACGTAAATTCAACTTGGGCTTCATCCTCGTTCTTTCTAAGACTATTCAAAAACGTATTATTTGCCTTATTGTAACTTAATCCAGGGAGTTTATTACATCCATCATGACTAAAGGCTTGGTTACAAGGGTGGCATCGACCGTCAAAAATGGCGACGACCACTTACGAAAGAGAAATAGGGTTAAGCGGCACAAACCCGCCTAGGCCAAATAAGGGCGTCCCCTCGGGTTTTAGGTTGCGACATAATTTAATTGTTGACTGAGATCGATAGAGGCCGAGTTGCCAGAGCTGGTTTTATAATAACCCAGGGTTTTGCAAAATTTTAATTCCGGGCCCGGTTCCTGAAATGTCAATAAGCGTTAATCCAGGATTAAAATTTTGTTCCGTTTTTGTATTTTACATTCCTATGCATTGCTTATGGTAACATTTTGTGTTATCATTACTGTATCTCGTAGTAAAGACTAAACAGTATATTGCAAGTACTCAAAAAGCGACTAACCACGAAAAGGGTTGATAAGTTTCATTGTTCTCTGGTCAAAATGGCTTCAGATTTTAAAGCATGAACTATCTCACAAAAATCGACGTACTAAACTTATGAGAATTCAACACGCAACATCACAGACATAATTATGGCATCATTTTTTTGCACTTTCTGGCTGCTTGAAATTATGACTGCAGCAGATTCTGAGGCACAATAAAAGAAAAATGTATTATTTGTTGGTTAATTATTCACAAACTCCAGCTCAGCCTCTGTTCAGGGGAAATTTGCCTTGGTCCCGAGGGTGTCCCTTTAATAAAGGATGTATAGTGCCTACCTTGGAGATATCATTTGGCCAAAAAAAAACACTGTTTGACGAAATAACACCCTCGGAGACCCAGGGGCAGTCATTCGGGCCGGGAGAAAAGGCGCGACGAAAGTTTTCATGCACGGGAGAAAGAGCCCCTGGGTACCGACTCTAACCGAACCATTTCCAAACGGTCAAGCGAATGCTGGCTCTTGATTGGGCACAAAAAATGCTTTGTTTTATTTTGCCCAATCGGCGAACAGCATCTCCTTAGTTCTTTTTGTATGTTCGTACACGACGGCTATTAGGGAGCTTAAGCAACCACGTTTTTGAGCGACGCACGTCAACCGGAAGTGGCCTTTTTTCATTTTCAAACGGTGGTTTCGCCCAAATTTTCAGTCAAATCGCCTCTATAACAGTAAAGAAGCTAAGAAATGCAAATTGTATGTCGTCAAGCCATGTTAAGAGGGAAAATGGCTCACTTCCGGTTGACGTCCGTCGCTCAAAAACGCCTTTGCTTAAGCTCCCTATTGTCTCGGCATACTTGTCCGCCGGATCGTTAACCAAGGTTGTGTGTGCAAGGGGAACTTTCATTTTCTAGCTTCCCTAGCCAGAACCAAAGGAACTACCGATGAGTCGGAAAAACCTTTCGGATGCTATCAGTAGGAACATTCCAATTTGCACCGGTTAAATTTTGTTTCTTACCGAGAGTGTAGCTAAATGTCGTGGGTCGTGGGTAGTGGGTAGTGGGTATAGGTCGTGGGTCATGGATGTGGGTGTGGGTAAATATCGTGGGTAAGAAAAAGTTTTCCAAAAAAAAAATTAAAAGGCAAAAAGTTGTAAAATTCATGAAACGAAAATCTCCGGGTACATGCCAGTCCTATTCCCCTTTCCCGCGGCCAGCAAAGCAAATAAGCGAATCCTTTAGTAAAAACGGACACTAAAATAAAAGAAACTCTGTACACTATGTTTACCTGAAGCAGGCTATAGAAAACTGGAGACTGAACTGCTTCCCTCCAAAAAAAGTCAACATTCGTGACTGAAACGTCCTGTCAGTTAAAGGAATGATATTAAGAAATCGTTACAGCAAAGATTTTGTACACAAAACAAAACAACAAAAAAAAGAATCGAGAAAATTACAATTACGTACGGCAATAACATTTACATACCGTCTCGCCTTAACTGAAAGGTTGAGCATGAGGGTGGTCCTTCGTAAGCTATTAGCTAGCCTAAAACTTCTTTAAGAAGGACTTCTATCCAAAAATATGAAATACCTCAAAATTGTCCTTTTCACTCCCCTTTCCCACGGTGATCGCATTCCATCGTGTTAAAAAATCTCCGCTGATCAATGGAATTGTGGATCGAATAAAGATTAATAGTTAACAGCTACTTCCATTCAGTGAGTCAGGGCTGTCGATCCCATACTTTCTGCAAATTTAATTGCACGTATAATTTACGTCTGTTTCGTTTACTTCGCGGCGATAGCTCAGGCATGGAAAAATCTTCATCGGCAACATGTAATGTCTTTTATACAGTGATGGTGTGAAAGGGAAGCTAAGTCCGACGTGGCTTAGGAAATATTTGGAAGAGGACGAAGAAAAAGCCATGACGAAAAGGGCAATCAAGGAGTTGGAGATTTTCGTTTAATAAATATTTTACAACTTTCCTCTATTTATTTCGTTTTTTCAATTAATTTTACTTTATCATTTTTTTTCTATACATTTTTTGTCCACGACATTTACCCACACCCACACCCACGACCCACGACATTTAGCTATACTCAGCTTGACAAGGCAAAACAACAACTGTGCACGTGCATCACGCTTTTTTGTACATTTCTTTGCCATCACTGCACGATTACCACGTGAAAATGCCTAATTTCACGTTTTGTGGAGGACGTAAACAAGCTAAGTAATGGCAAAATTTTCTTTCTCTTTCTAAACTTGGATATGGTTGATAGGATTCAGCTCCGGAAGAGTTCGCTGCATTTGACAAAATAAGAGAGTTGGAATATTATATCACGATAGGTGTGATCGATGCAAGGTTGAATACCTGTTGTAAGCTCAAGTTTATATTTTTGGAAAAGCGTCTTTAAAATACCCTTACATACGTTTAATTGCATGTTTTAGTTTTCGGGTAGACAGTATATTTTGAAATAAGGAGTTTATATCAAACTGATAGGTTCCTGACTGCCTGCATTTCTTTGGTGCACGAGCCAGACAAGTTGGCGAGACAAAACCTGTCGTGCACGAACTCACGAAAAGAACTCAGGAGATGCTGTTTCCGATTGGGCACAATATTACAAACCAAGGGAAATCGTAAAAAAAATAATAATAATAACTAAAGAGTTCACGGCTATCCGAAAACGAAACAGCGCTAAAAAATGAACGAAACGAATACAAGAATACGTAAAACATTTTACAGCAAACCACGCTTATAGTCGCTCTTTGGCCATTTCTTTTCTTGTCACACGCCCTTTTCTCAAACAAAGTTTGAATAATTTGCCGCCGGTGCGCATGAAAAATTCACGGATGCCGCATTCTAGGCGATGCGTTCATATTCTGAAACCCTGCCGGGAAAATAATTCTGAATGAAAAGTAAAATAATTAAGAATAAAGAATAATAAAACAATTATTGAATTCTGAGTTCATATAGCATAAGAAATAATGCAGACCTTGAAGGTTGTGACGCGATCAGCCTCGGCTTTTTTTCTCGGTGAATATCACCCTTCTCAATCTCTTCATATCATTCTTCGCCTCATTCACAACAGCTTCTCCAGCAGCATGGCAAACGTTGTGGGCCGAGCGTGTCCAGTTGGATATCTAGAGGACGTTGCTGATACTCCTTGGCTTGCTCAAAGTCACCTAAAGCTTGGTAAATTGAAGCTAAGTTTTGGTAGCTTGTTGCAACATCAACATGTTCTGGGCCGAGCTTGTCAAGTTGGATCCGTAAAGCACGTTGCTGATACTCCTTGGCTTGCTCGAAGTCTCCTAAGTCTTGGTAAATTAAAGCTAAAATGTAGTAACTTTTTGCAACATCAACATGTTCTGGGCCTAGCTTGTCAAGTTGGATCTCTAGAGCACGTTGCTGATACTCCTTGGCTTGCTCGAAGACACCTAAGGCTTGGTATATTGAAGCTAAATTTTGGTAGCTTGTTGCAACATCAACATGTTCTGGGCCTAGCTTGTCCAGTTGGATCTCTAGAGCACGTTACTGATACTCCTTGGCTTGCTCGAAGACACCTAAGGCTTGGTAAATTAACGCTAAAACGTAGTAACTTGTTGCAACATGAACATGTTCTGGGCCGAGCTTGTCAAGCCGGATCTCTAGAGCACGTTGCTGATACTCCTTGGCTTGCTCGAAGTCACCTAAGTCTTTGTAAATAATGGCAAAGTTGTTGAAGCTTGTTGCAACATTAACATGTTCTGGGCCGAGCTTGTCCAGTTGGATCTCTAGAGCACGTTGCTGATACTCCTTGGCTTGCTCCAAGTCACCTAAGGATCTGTAAATTGAGACAAAGTTGGTGAAGCTTGTTGCAACCTGAACATGTTCTGGGCCGAGCTTGTCCAGTTGGATCTCTAGAGCACGTTGCTGATACTCCTTGGCTTGATCGAAGTCACCTAAGGCGTTGTAAATTGAAGCTAAGTTGTGGTAGCTCATTGCCACATAAACATGTTCTGGGCCGAGTTTGTCCAGTTGGATTTTTAGAGCACGTTGCTCATACTCCTTGGCTTGTTCGATTTCACCTAAGGCTTGGTAAATTAAAGATACGTTGTGGTAGCTTGTTGCAACATAAACATGTTCTGGGCCGAGCTTGTCCAGTTGGATCTCTAGAGCACGTTGCTGATACTTCTTGGCTTGATCGAAGTCAGCTAAGGCTCTGTAAATTGAAGCTAAGGTGTCGTAGCTTGTTGCAACAGCAACATCTTCTGGGCCGAGCTTGTCCAGTTGGATCTCTAGAGCACGTTGCTGATACTCCTTGGCTTGCTCAAAGTCGCCTAGGTCTTGGTAAATTGAAGCTAAGTTTTGGTAGCTTGTTGCAACATCAACATGTTCCGGGCCGAGCCTTTCTAGTTCGATCTCTAAAGCACGTTGCTGATACTCCTTGGCTTGCTCGAAGTCACCTAAGTCTTGGTAAATGGAAGCTAAAATGAAGTAGCTTGTTGCAACATTAACATGTCCTGGACCGAGCTTGTCCAGTTGAATCTCTAGAGCACGTTGCTGATAAACCCTGGCGTGCTCGAAGTCACCTAAGGCTTGGTAAATTAAAGCTAAGTTTTGGTAGCTTGTTGCAACATCAACATGTTCTGGACCAAGCTTTTCAAGCTCAATGGTGAGTGAATATTCCAAATATATTTTTGCCACGTGAAATTCACAATGCATTTGACAAATATTTCCAAGGCCTTCACATTTTCTTGCTATGTCTTTGTCATTTATTTGAAACATATTTTCTTTCACAAACACTTTGTCAGTTACCATAGTTAAGACTTTTAAATGTGGAACGATATGCATGGTGTCCAATCTCTTCTTCATGGGTGGAACAGCGTCTATAAAATTATTGAATGTTGTAATAACGCCATTTACAACCTGAGGGGTTTTACTGTCGGGACGGGTACTCATCATCATTTTTATAGCATCATGCACAACCTGGTGCACACGAATGAAGTCCCCACCTTGGTCATCTTGGAAAAGCAAGAGTGAGCATCGCTTTAAACTCATGCGTATTAGTTCCTTGTCCGCTTCATCAAAGTCTTCGTGTACGTTTGTGATGTAGCTAATTGCTACGTCAACTTTCAATTGTTCTGGTGCGCAGAGGGAAAGTAAAGTGAAAAGGTGCTTCACAAGTTTGTCAGATCTCATCAGTGTTTCGACGGCTAGCTTTATGGCTTTGGTCATTGAAATTGGGTAAATTGGGTTTGTGTATTCCAGTGTATTCTCTGTAGTTTCTCTCTTACCTTTTTCTAACATCTTCAGGTATTCGCTCCAGCCAAAATGCCTTGATGCTTTGTCCTGCCGAATCTCTTTCACAAAGGTGGCAGCTCCCGCTAATGCAAGAGGTTGATAGTCTAGTTTTTCTGCTACTTCTCTCACGAGATCGCTATCTTGGATCCCTGAAAGCTTGGCCAGTAAGGAACAGGCATCGTCGGTCTCCATACCTTTGCTAACTGAGATGTGATAAACAAAAGAGCTTTTTAGGGGGACTGACTTTGTTTCTTGCGTTGTGATTAGCAACTGACCCCTGGCCCAAGCTTCGTTTCCAGACTGTGGTAGATGGACAAAAACAGAGGACATAGTTGTGACATTGTCAACCACCATCAGCCACGACGTGTAACAACTAACTTTTACAGCAATAAGCATCTTAAGATTAGTGATCTTTTCCTCTACATTCAAGTCCTTTGAGTTGAGGGTTTCCATAACTGAGTGGTCTGGGCACTTTAAATGGCGAGCAAATGAGGCATATGACTCCAGAAGTGAATCTTGACTCGCGGCATTTAAGGTCATTACAAATGAAGAATTATCTGGTTTTTCTTTGAATTCGTCAAAGAACCTTTTAGCTACGAGACCAGCTAGCTGTGATTTGCCACTTCCAGGATTTCCTGAGATGTATAGGAAACTCAACCTGTTTTCATTGGACTCCTTCAACTCTCTTAGCTCTTGGGCTGTTTTGGATACCTCGCGATCACGACCACCGATGTCATGTGAAGGTTTAGGAGGAAGAATACAGAATGAAGGTGTTTCTTTCTGGAGTTGATCTTCAAGGACTTGAACTTCCTTTTTGAGATTATCAACCTTTTTCAGGATTTTTTGCAATTCTTCTGTTGCAAACGTTTTCTGATTTTTTATATCTTGGATTTCACCAGTGGGAAGACCCAGCGCTCGAAAAGCCACTTCAACTTTGCTAATGGCTCTCTGAAAATCTCTCAGAGAGAGACTGCCTTGTGCCATATGAGCAAATTCTTGGTTTCTGAAATTTCTGAGATCATCTACATGTTTCCTTACAGTTGCGTTAACGCTACCCCCAACACTATCAGAAAAAAGGATGGAGTAGAAAAGCATTGTACAATCCCATTCTTCTCTACTTCCGTTTTGCATGGTGACTAAAAGGTGAGCATTTCTTCTTTGGTTTTTGGGAGACTCCCCGTTATAAAAGTCCAGTCCATTACGAGGCTCGTCTTTCCATTCTCCTTTCGTTGATTTGTACTGTTTATCCCATTCTTGTTTAAAAATTTCTCTCAGGCCTTCTGTTAGGATATCAGTTGTTACGTAACAAATTCTGAAATAATTCAGTTGTTCTTTGGTGTATTCTTTTGAAAGGGCCATACCTGATGTACTTCTGTTGTTTGGAACTCTCTGTTAGCAAAGACGTTCAAAGGGAATAAATTAATTTATGGGCATAGAATTATAAAATGGAACGTGAGATACATATTGCGTCCCATCAATTATTCAAAGGTTATTCTGAAATAAATCGTAAGTAATCGTAAGTATAATGCTGCCTTACAGGAGTTCATAAGATCAGCGCAGATTAGGGTTGATTATTATCATAGTATCTGTTGCAGATTTGTTAATCTTTTTGTTTCTTTCAGATATACGCCGACTCGGTATTCATAGTCTCCATAACTTCATTGCATTACTTCCAGTTTTAGTTAGATACAAGAGGGAAATTGTTATTTTGATGAAGCGCGTGCGTGCACTCAAACATGACGGGCTAAATATATTTTTCTTAGTAAATTAATATGTCCTGTCAGTAAATGTGCTTTTGGCAATTAGTCATTTGATTTGGGTTACTTCGGGCAACAGACACTGAAAGCTGTGATGAATGAGCTCCTGCATTCAAAACATCTTGTTTTAACAATATTGCCTCGTGTCTAAATTCATTAGTATATTCCTATGCAAAACAACTTCCGTCATGCTTCAACTGACGACACGCTAAATGTACGTAGAAAAAGTGTTGTGAAACAAGAACAGGTCGCTTACGTTTTTTTCTGCCTGCTTTAGCTTTGGGTATCTTTTCTTGTCTTTGGTGTCTTGGTCAATGTACAGCGAGTTACTCTAAGTCCATTACATTCTCCTGTATAAGAAGGATAATGTGTTCATCAGGCTCTAGAAATCCATTGCTGAAGCCCGGGGGCTGACTACTCCCTTATATGGCCCTTGCAAGGATACTTTGTTTTTCGCCCATCTTAGTTTAACAGGAAACAAAATGCAAACTGCAGCGATAAACATAAGGAAATATAAACGCCTTTTATATTTCCTCATGATAATCACCGCAGTTTGCTTTTTGTTTCTTCTGTACGGGGATGTGCCGCTGAACAGGGTATGATTTGTGTTCTGTCTTAGACTGCGTAGCATGGTGGTTTTGGTAAGGGCAGTACTGAGTGGGGGCAGGCAAACAAGCGGAGTGAAACTGCGAGGTAATTGGAGCGACGCAGGCTAGTACTCTCTGTTCTAAACAGGATATATAATTTCGGGTAAGTCTGTCTTTAAAAGGGCATATAATTTCGTGCGAGTCTGTCCTAACTATAAACAGGGTACTTCCTATACGATTGATTTGATTTGTATGATGAATCTTTTTTGTACTTCAAGTATACAAAACCAATGTTTATAACGTGAATTTGCTTTATTGCAATTGCCAATAAATGGCTTTAAAACAAGACGGCGTGCAGTTTGTCCTTTGTTCTGTAAAGGGTAATAAAGTTGAGGTTGTTGTCCTAAACAGGGTATGTATGTCATTTTGTTTCTTCTAAACAGGGTCTGGGGTTTAAACCAAAAGCTGTTCACCTATACCAAAATACTGGTCGAGTAACCCCCCCCCCCCCCCCCCCCCCCCCCCCTTCTCCCCCTTCCCCTACTTTTTTTTTATTTTTTCCAACACAAAAACCTGCTCTTCCGCTCAACAGAGAAAGCAAAACAAAAAAACCAACCCACACACAAAAAAAAGAGCCTTCCCACATACAATGAACATAAAAACCCATATACCAGGTGACTCACCCCCCCCCCCCCCCCCCACCTTCCCAGTGCTGTCGACTAACATTTGTTTATATGTTGCGCCCAGAAACAGCCTGGTATCCTCGGTACCAAGGAAACCTGACTAAAACATTCAGCCAGTACTCACAAAAAGGTGCTCTTCCTCGAACATAACTGCAAAAATCGATATCGTGTTGAACGGTTTCAAGGTTTCAACAACAAATGTAACCTTTGTACCCGAAGCGCTACAATACGTCAAGTACTGCTTTCTCGAATTGTCAGATTTTTTATATTCGCCCATAAAAAAAGAACGGTTTTCCACTACAGATAGACACCTGGTTTGTATACTTCTATAAAAGAGATATACTTACCTTTTGCGATTTTGCGATTTCACACTTAGAGGGGTTCTGCTTGAGTGACGTTCGAAGGGAAAACACCGCGTCAAAACGAAAGCATTACGTCTGATTTTATTTTCATCAAATTACCCGCTTGACGCCCACGCAGTCCATGGGTCATCGCCTGAGGGTTCAACTGAAGTATTTTCTTTGTAACTAAGAGGGAAGAATTACAATTGGACCTTAAGATTATCCCAACCCACAAAAAAACTTCTTACCTCCCAAATCCATGATAATCTTTGTACCCAAAAAAGACTTTCTTAGTGGTTTATACATAAGATCCTCGCCACTGTAAGGTAGAACAACAACGGGTGGATGACTGTTCGGTTTAGCTTTTTTCACATGCGAAACATACTCGTTTTTATCCCTGATTGGCTCATACGCATTCGCCTCAGCGTGGGGTCGTGCTCCTTATGGCGATTTTTAGTGAGTATGTGCCAGTAACAGTAGAGAAAGATACAGCCTTTCAAACTCTTATGATGCACTATGCAGTGGCGGATCCAGACCTTCAGATAAGGGGGGGCGGGGAGCGGGGGCAGTTACTCAGACTCTGAGATAAGGGGGGAGCGGTCTCAGAAAAATGTTTTTTCGGCCCTTCGGGCCTCAGTTTGGTTTAAAACTAAGGGGGAAGCCCGGCCCCCCGGGCCCCTACCCTGGATCCGCCAATGCTATAGTAGAACCTGTATCTTACCCTGAAGAAACTATAAGGTAGAACGATAATGCCATTACCCCTAGGATTACCACATCTGGGAAACTGCGTGGCAAACATGTTTGCAAACCCATACCCCATTGTAGAAACAGTATACCTTTTAAAAGGTCCCCACGTTCCGATCAAAAGCAGACTCCGAGCAGTTTCTCTTTTAGCCTCTTTTGCTCGAAAATTTGTGAAGGAGTTCGATATGGTTATGGGCACCAGTGTGGGCGGCCAAATACTCACATATCATATTTCGAGCAAACGAGAGACTGCTCACAGTCTAAATCAAAAGCTTAGTTCCACCTTTTGAGTCATAAATCAAACACAAACCGCAAGCTGAATACATGAGGGCTTTCGCTCTTAATCGACTTAGTCAAGTCTGGTTGAAAATTTACTTTTGTTTACTTAAACTGTTGCAAGTGTTCAGACTGAACGCCTTAAAAATACTATCCACAGATAATACAAAGGTAAAGCAAGGGGCACACATGCACCAACCCACAGCCTGGCCGGTACCTCGCACATGCGCACAGCCATATCGCCGCGGTAGTGCCAGTCAGCTACACAGCCGTTTTTAGTGTCGTCACGCAACGCTCCTCCCTACATTTTTTGTTTCAATTCTTATCAGGTCTACCGCAGCAGCACCACGTAATTCTTTTGAAACTACAGTAAAGGCCGATTTCTTGAAACCTCGGTTTTTCAAAATTCCCGATAAATCCGCAACCGAACGTAACTTCCCTTCGCCAGTCGACAAACATTGTACCTTTGATTTTTAATATATTAACCGTAGCCGATAATGAATTCGAACCAATTTCCTTAACCCAAGGTGGTTCGAAAATCGGGTTTCTACCGTATACTTTACGAGTCCCTAACACACTATGGGAATGCTTGTTAAAAAATTAACGGTATATATTGTTTAAAGAAGCGGCTTACAGGGTTTCATACGAGAACATGCAAAACGGTTTCAAACCAAGTCCTTACAATGAAGGTTAAGACAGGATCGCAAAACTTTAACCCATTCGCTCCTGGAGATTTTGCCGAAAAAAGCGTTTTGAAGCTAGTCGAGTGGTTTTCTGGTCACTGTCGTGCTATAAAGAGCTAAAACTTACCACAAACTGGTTTACAGGTCGAACACTTCGCGGCCTTCTGATCCAGATGCAAAATATCAGCTTGCGAAGTTCGGGCATGCGCAGAAAGCAAAATGTCGGGTTTAAAAGTGACACAGCAGTCTTGACTTTTACTTTTCGCTTTCTCTCCTCCCTTCTTTTTTTGCTTTTCTTGCCTCATTTTTTTTCTCTTGCTGGGCATTTAGTAGGCTTGATTTTGGTGGGAAGAGTTTCCAGGAAAGCTTTTAGGATCTTAGGATTAGGCGAAAGGAAAGGTAGGTGGGTAATGGAACAAGATTTTCATGGAGATTTTCAGGTCAATGTCACGTGGTTTTTTGCTTGTTTCTCCGGTGTCCTTGACTGAATTGTGCTCATTCTGGTATGGTTTGAAAGATCTCTTCACTCTGCACAAGTTAGTGAAGAAAGTTGTCCTTGACCGTTAAAACTGATGACGTCACAATGGTAGAAAGGACCTGGATCCGCAAGGGCGGTTACGGGCGGTTCAGGGGCGAATGGGTTAAACGACACTGGAGCACAAAATCAACAAGGGTAAAAGAATTTCATTTCATTTCTACACAATAAACTCTGATAGGACGAATTTTTTGTGAATAATAAAACTGCGTCCATTTGAACCGTAGAAATCGCTTCTTTCCGCGATAATGCCAGTTGTGTTATTTTTTAACAAGCGCTCAAAAAGGGAAGAAGGACTGGTAGATATATAAAATATGTTCGGTACATTATAACTGACCGTACATGAAGTTCCTACCGCAGAACTGCCAGATTCAAGTCTGATCGCAGGTTAACTATGTCCCTTCACTGAATACTTTCAATATTCAGAGGTCTTATATGTGTAGAACAATCAGAATATTATGCTAATAAAGAGGCAGAAAAACATTACCTATAGCCAAAGCATTTCATTTGTGTAAGTAGCAAAGACCTCTCGTGTTAGCATAACATGACATAACCGAAGTCAGCTGCGTAGCACTGAGCCGCTTAAAAGTAATATGTGCGCCAGAAAGAACGGATCAAGCAGGGCGCCAGGGAGACCACAGTTCTTCCAGGCACCTTATTAGGTCATGCAAATTAACAGTCTTCGTTTATTGTAATCATCTATAAAGGTTTGAATAAAAATTACCCACTTACGACTTTTATTTGATTAAGAAACAATAGCCTTTTGACACATCTCTTTTTCAAAGGTCTCGATACACAAAATCCCATGTTATTTTCTGCCATTCTCTACGTGGGATAAAGCAAGCGTTATTTCCATCCATTCATCGCCAGAAGCTGGCACCGATAATTATATTTCCGCTGAAGGTTGTTACAAAAGAAGATTGAAGATTAGGTATGTTTGATATTTGAAAATCGCTTTTATATTATGAAAGGTGAAAGTATAGTTACTGTCATTGCTTTTCCGTATAATTCCATTTAATCTCGTAATAATTTTTTGTGTGAGAAAAAGTTCTTGAAACACAAATCACACTGAAATCATAACATAAAGGTCATTTGTAGGTTAGATGTTGTATTAATGCAGTTAAAATGTTTCTTATCCAGGATGAGCCAAAGCGTCAATAAGTATAATCATTCCTTGGTTGTTATGAAAGGAGATTGAAATAAGAATCAAGAAAGTTTGTCATAAAAGTTCGAGTGCCTGTTTCTACTGAAGGTTTAGCCACAGATAAGAAGTCTAAGAACTAATACATTGTCAGAGAACGTCCTCAGTTTTTAGGTGGTCTTTAATTATTTTGACAGCCTGTATAAATCGTAATAGACCGTAAACAACTTCTCATGAACTTCTACAACAACTTCCACAAACCGAAAAGATTGTGCACCCTACTACTCGAAAAGGTAATTGAGGAGGCATCATGTAACTGAATTCTAATTCACTCTAGATTGACTAGATTCTGAGAACAAAATCCTTTAGAGTAACCGCCATTCAAATGAAACCTCCTCAGCAGTAGTTCCATATAGTATGATGTGTAAGCCACATGATTATTGAAATGATCATTCAAATGAAACCTCTTGAGCAGAAGATTAGTTTTGGTGACATTTTTCATTAACAGTACAAACTGCACCTCGCTTTCGGAGTGGGCTGTGGATAAAATCCTGACGTGTTAACATTCTAAAGAAAGCTCTTCATCTTTTAATAAATAATTAGCCTTTAAATGGTCCAATATATTTTCCGTTTTTTACAGCATGAAACTTTGAAATTTTCTTTCATTTTGATGATGAGAACTACTAGGAGTATAAAAATCGTTGACCATGTCGTTTGTTTCTAATCAGATGACAGCATGACAAGCACAAGCAAGAATAAAGAAATGAAAGATAAGAGGGCTGACAGCATTGAAGCTGTTCAAGAGGCAAATGAACAGCCCACTCTCCCTTCCATTTACTCCATAGCAGCCGCTCATTCTTTGTCAAAAGACCTAAAACAAAAGTCCCTGCACTTAATAAAAGTCAAAAGAAGACATGGAGACTATGGACAATTCGATCTAACGCACGCTTGGTCACCGGAGGATTTGATGGATGACCTAGGAAGTCGCTTCGGGAGTGGACGGTCAAGAGATAGTACATTGCCTGATGAGAGTCTAGCTCTGGCACGACCGTTTGTTATGGAACCTTTGAGGACATTTCAGGTAGCAGATTGTGATAAAATTCTCTTTTGTTCTATTTTCCTAGAATTTGACTGCACAGCCCGCAATTTTGCTGGCTAAAGTATTTTCCTGTCTATAAGGCCATGGCTAATTGATGGAAAGAGTAAAGCCCGCGCGTAAATCAATAAATAATTGACAAATGTCACCAGAAGGTGCTCTGAACTACCGGTTAGCTGAATAAAATGCCCAAAAGGTTTTATGGTGACAATTATCGACTTTTATCATTTGGTTCCTCAAGTACCTGTCGGCGATAGCAATTTTGAGTTTGCAATCAAACTGTCAAATGTATAAAGTTTATGTTAAAACAAAAGCTTAGTTTGCAAAAATATTGTCAGATCCTCCGTATTTTGTACATAGCTAAGTACTTTGACCCGTCAGGAATTGTTTGAGCACCGTGTAAACAATCTCAGTAACTCATTGGACATTATGGATGGCGAAAAAGGAGTCCTTAATAACTACTCAACTTTCGGTTTTTGCCGGAGGGAAGTGATCAGTACTTTGGAAGTTTTAGCCACGACCACAGCCATTGGTTAATATAAAGGTCCATTTAGTCAAGAAAAGATTATTCACTCCCTTCTTTCATGTTCCGATACTTACAATAGGTCTTTGATTAATGGTCATATTATTTGCCCAATGTTTTTTTTTTCCGATTCTCTCCCAGGAACACAAGGTCAAACCAATCATTCAACATGTACTGGAAACTAACTTGGCAGAACAAAAGTATGACCCAGTCTTTTGCAGAGATGCTGCAGTCACGATGGCCGAGGTTATAAAGGAAAGAGTGAAAAGACTTTGTTATCCTCGATATAAATTCGTGTGTCACGTGGTCGTGGGAGAAGTTAATCAACAGGATGTGAAAGTTGTGAGCCGGTGCGCATGGGACTCGGCGGTGGATCGTTTTGCGCAGTATCAGTATAGCAACTATTATCTGTATGCCGTGGGGATTGTTTATGCAGTTTATTGTGAATAATTGAGCCTTTATCTTGCACAAGTATAGTCATGAATACAGACAAAATGAACAATCTATTTGACAAACACAAAGAATTCTGTTATTAACTTAAATAGGTTCCACGACAACGGGCCAATGTTCAACAAGAAGAAACATTCCACTTACTGAATAAGCCACTAGTTACCAATAGTACCTTCAATTTGACGTAGAAGCTGGCAAAAAAAGTGTTTTTACGTGCTATGCCATTGAGGTTTTCATTGACGACAGAGGCGAGAATTTTGACAGGGTGGAGAATGGCCAACGAAGCTTCTAGCCTAAATTCCGCTCTTTTGAGGACTTTTTCGTTGATTGCCTTGTTTTTTAGTAGAGAAAGAAAGGAAATAAATAAATTAGATCAAATTTATGTTTGCCCATGTTTTAATTTTCCAAATTATGACGTCTGCATGGAGTGCCTGGCGGTCAATTCCACCAGCCAAATCTTCCGGGTCTTGTTATGGTTAGATGTACGCCCTCCACAATAGTGTGCCATTATCAGCGTGTCGTCAGCTTTATAAGGCCCATGCAAGGAAACTCAGATGTTCACTGTTCAAAACCAGCTAACTCGCTCTTACAAATGTTAACATTGACGCGGTATTTCTGTTTATCTGCTAACGAATTCCACTGTTTACAGCTTCAGTCAACGTTTGAACGTCGGCTGCTTCTCCGAACTTACCCAAACGTAAAGCTATCGCACATAACACAAACTAAAGAAAGGCATCGTTAAGTTGACTGTCAATAGCTGATCGGCGTTCGCTACACGGCTTCTCAGGTTTTTTCCGCTTCTCACACTAAAGAATACCTGATAGATGGAGTTTAAATGACCGCACGACTTTTAAATTTAGCAAACTTGCCACATAATAAGTCCTTTAACGACCACGCTTACTCAGTGAAGTAGTTAAGCATTGCCCTCTCTCGTTTTTATTTGTGTGCGTGTTTGTGTATTTTAACCCTTTAAGCCCCAATATCCACATACAAATTCTCCAAACTGATCTCTATACATTTCCTTAAAGAATGTGTTGAGAGAATTTGATAAAAGATCAAAGCATTTTCTCTTAGGTGATCAATTTATTAATCCTTATAACCTAATCTCTGGACAATCTATGGATATGGTTAGGAGAAAATTGATGTTGGTCACCATTGGGACTTAAAGGGTTAAGAGCCGTAGGAACTTGGCCAACATCTCGTCGTCCGGTTTACTTCACGGTTGGTCAATACGGCATGTTTTTTTTTTCCCTATTGGTGGAATCTTTTCTGACTTAATTGTTGTTTACATTGCTTCATAAATGACATTAGAATACGAACTTAACTAAAACGACATCATGCCAAATAAAGATAAATTCACAAACTTAAAAACCTTGTTGTCTGTAGGTTGTGAAATTGTCTGCTCTTTGTAAGCAAGACTCAAAGGAATATAACAGCATTCACGACTGAATGCAAACGTATTGTCTGACAAAAGAGTAACTAACGCGCGAGCCATACCTTATTGAAACCAATGACATTATGAATTTTTACAAGTCTAAACTTTGCTATAAACACGCTTAGTAAACATGTCTTCGTGAACTCGTTACTAGAACTTTTAAAGTAGATTACTCTAACGCAAATAAAAAAGGGTTGTGTCAACATGTTACGTGTGCGGGGATGTAATTTCAGCAGACAGGAAGTCTAATATTGAGCTTTAAAACTGAGTCTAAATGAAACTAAAGAATGAAAATTCCTGTTTCTAAATAACCTTTCGGAATAAATGTTTCCGGGGATGATGTGGCCCCATATTTGTAAATTTCTTATATTTATTTATTTCCGTTCGTTCTTTTCTTGGACAGTTTATTACTCTGTTGGAAGACTCCCCTAACAAAGCAATAAGTAATAAATGGTACTTGAGGTGAATGCAAAACTGGGACAGACACTTGAGGATGTCAGCGCGAAAAGAGATTTTTTACATCCCTAGCGATTATTTTACGTTCCAGAGAGGCCTAAAGTCTTAGAGCAAAGTCAGTACTTTCACGCATTTCCCAAAACATCTAAAGGAAACCACAATGAAAAAATCGTTGTAACGTAATTTCAATGTTAGGCATTACTCTGGGTCCAGTCGGGCAGATATTTTTAAAAGGAACAATGATGTTTATAGTGGAAACACTGCTCTGAAAAAGGCGGAGATTTCTTCATTAATCGCACGTGCAAAATGGGAGCCAAATTTAATCTTATCCAAAACCAGGAACCATTCGTTAATTCTTTTGGTGGGGGATAATTGGCTATGATGAGAAGGCATCTTACCATTAAAAAACAGTAGAGACAAAAAATACGATTTTCTCCTTTGTTTCCTAGATGGGGTTGGTGGCAACGTACTCAATGCTATCAGTCTTTGGTGAACTTGGAGCAGTTCAAGACATGTCTTAGGCTGTATCCACAAGGGAGATTGCGAAGTTGACTGCTCGAGCGCTAAAACTCAGTGAGAACAGGAGAACATACAAGGCTTTTATGCAATTTTATGTTCTATTCCTAAGAACAATTCCGTCTGACAAAGGGGATAGCGTGTTAGCCTCAGCTTTCCAATCTCTCTACCTTATCAAATAAACGAACTAAACCAAAGCTTTGTTTTCCACACCCCCAGCGACGATCAATGTATAAACACAAAAGTCTCTATAGAAACTAATCTTTTATGGCCACACGAATCGGTAAACACAAATGAATAAATATCGTTCTGGGCATGCATGGTTGTTCAAAAAAGCTACATAGCTCTAACCACTGAATTAATGACTCTTCACTTTGAAGGATTATGGTAACCAATAGGCCATTTGCACTAAGAGGTCATGTGACATCGTTTTTATGAAAGTGAAAGTTATATGATTTTTTTCTTCAAAAAACGATTAGTGGGTCATGTCTTGAACAAAATAATAGTGATTTTGTTTTTCAAACCTGTACCATTTTCTTAAAATGAGTAAGTTCGTAGTTGGTCACGTGATCAAAATGTGATTTTTGAAATTTTGAATTAACTCTTTCTGAACACAAATTTTGCTCTTAAACCTCAAGGAGAATGTTGAAAAGTTGATGTGGGAACGTCTACAGCACATCTGAGCGTAGCTATGAAACGTTTAACAAGACTACAACCAAAAAGAAGTTTTGGCCGCCATGTTAGAGGGCAAGAGTATGCCTTCCAACATGGCGGCCAATACAAATGATACTACTTTGTTGAAAAATCAAAGTGCCATAAAATATCTCCCTTAAATGCGTTTCCCCTCAAATTTCGGGTGTAAGATAACTTTTATGTGCTCTGTCAATTTTTAGCATCAGCAAGATTCCAACTCATTGTTTAAAGGAAGCATTGGTCACGTGACCTCTTAGTGCAAGTGGCCTATTGCGTTATCCAACTGATAAAATATTTATTAAGATAATATCACTGTCCATCTTTTAAACGGTTGGGGCCTGGAGTGGAACGTTGTAGTCACATTACTGGTTTGTAGACATATCACTAGAAACCCGAAATAAATTCAATATTTGCATATTTCTTGACCAATGAACGAACTTTTTCCCATAACACTTATTTCCCTTTCGTTCTGTTTTCAACCAATCAAATTTCAAGGCGTTCCGATTAATGGCAAGCGTAATCAAGTAATCTCTCCTTCCGATCACACACCTTCATACCGTACACATCTCTTGACTTGCAGTGGATATTCGTAACGTTAAAGGCAAGTACCTTTTTTATCATATGTTTTTCCGTCTTCACGCTTTGTTTAGCTCTAGTAACTGTTGGCCTACTTGCTCCCTCGCCGGAGTTGATTGTTCTTGCCTATGCCATTACCTCGCCCTGTCAAACGTTATCTTATTCGCGTTAGTGTACCTCGCCATGTCTTTGCCCAGTACTTTTGTGACTGCATCTTATTTTATGATATTTCTGCTGTTGTCTTATAAGTTACACGCCTTGTTGATAATTCAGTTCGATAGATTTGATTTTTGTAGTTTGTTCGTGTATTTCCTGTTGTCAACCTCAGAGGTGAGGGCGACGTATTACCTTGGTTCTTATCATCATGTTTTTGCTTATTATTCTCATGAACCACCTTCTCGAGTTATTTTTACATATCTAACCTCCTGCATTTTTAAACTATTTCAATCATCGTAAAGGCTGGTCACTAATTTTCTCTGTTTCCTTTTGCCACTACTCGACCATTCGCAGGCTCTTTTTGGTATTTTATTTTTCCTGTGTCATCGCTTTGAACGAAAAAGAGGGGGAAGAAAGGGATTAATATTTTTCACGAAAATGATAGATAACTTTCCATGTTTCCTTTTGCTTCTATCCGACCATTAGCAGGCTATTCGTTTCGTTTTACATTGCTCACGTAATCGCTTTGAACGAAAAAAAGAAAAATAGCCAAAACGTAAGTAACCTTCTTCCCACCAAAATGAATTTTCACAAGTTTACTGCTGCCGGATGACTTAGTGATGATGAGAAGTGTGAGTCCAGCCAACAGGAAATCTTGTCGCAGGAAAATGCATATTTTTTTTACAAAAGTAGAAATTCCTGTGTCTATTAATAGCCAGACTTTTACATAGATGAGACATGGTCCGTAGCGCTTTTGTAAGACATTTCTGAGAAACTTGTTTATTAAGTTTGCAATAAGGTCAATAGGTTTTGCTCCTCGGGAGTAATTTTGTCGGGAGAAAACTTATGGAAGTTTCTTTCTCTTTCAACCCAAGAGTTATTGCTAATAAAGTATTACTTAAAAAGTCATAATACAATCTTTTTTCCTGTTTGCAACGCCATCAGTGTCTGTCTCCTATAAAAGAACTCTTTTAAATTAGACGGGGACTAAATTCATTTCATTCTTTTTTTAGCGCTTAATATCAGATGAAGTATTTATAGGGAGCTTCAGAAAACGGATGACGGAGACGGCAGCGAGAACGTCAAAAAGCCATACAACAAATTTGCACGCTCACTGTGCGTTTTTGGTACAGTTCCTTTCCCTCCCTGCACGACCTCGACGTGAAAATTCCTTATGCAACGCTTTGTGAAGGGCTTTAATACACAAACAAGCATTTTTTTTCCTCTTTCTAAATTTGCGTTCGGTCCCCAAAAATTCAACTCCAAGAAAATTTACTTTCATTTGACATTTTAATAAAGTTAGAATAAAGAGGTTTTTGCTGCCTTCATCGCCTTCGTTGCTAAAGCTGCCGTTTTTTATGGAATACGCAAGTCATTTTTCCTTTCAGGTTGTGTTTACAACACTGACATCTTTCAGTCATGTCGGAATCAGCTGAAATCGCTGGGACAGCAGTAACGTCAGTGCTTATCATCACAAGTATCGTAGGAAACTCTCTTGTTTGTACCGTTATTAAGAAGAATCGAGACATGAGGTACATACCAAGCCAGCACTTAACCAAAATATAATGACTTCGCAAAGTAACAGTAGTCATTATTTTTCCTGTTTAGGGCTTTTTAAGTTAAAAAAAACACTGATAGTGATGATATATTTCTCTTTAAGTGGAGGGATTGACCAGCAAATTTCCGTGTTTAGTTTCACTTTTTCTCTACCTTGGCTGCTAAAACAAAACAGCTTTTTTAGAAACCAATTCTCTTCTCGATTTTCTGTCTTATATTTCTTGTTTTCTCTGCGTAGTCACCATCAACCTAGAACCTGGTCTCTAATAGTCCATGTTCGATATACATCACTACGAGGTTTTACGGACAAAATTGCAAAATTTTGACGATTCCATTGTCTCGTAATTGCCAGAAGAGACAGACAAACAAAGAAGACGAAATCAAATCAGGAGCGTATCCAGAAATTCAGAAAGGGCTGGCCGGGACACTTGCCAGCAATATGGATACTTTTTATTTTACTGAGAATTCTTGTGGGGGTGCGTGGTCCTTGCTCTCGGCCTCAACCCTTAATCCGCCAATGCAAAGAAATTTAACAAGAAAGCCTCGTAGTCATATATGGAACGCGGGTCATTTACAGCGTGGAGAGCAACGCACAACTCTTAATGCGGTAGCAACAGCTATTTAATTCTGATTTACCCGCAACTTTGACATGAAGAGGGTCATTTTTCCTGTTTGTGAATATTTGACTCCTTGTTTGATCCTAGAAGGCGAATAAATAAGGAGTGTATGTGAGCTCAACACATAAAATATCATTAACCGTCTATTTTGGCGGTGTGCAGACGTTCTGAAGCTTTGTTATCGTGACCATTGTAATAAAACCAACTGCCGCTGCAACAGTCTCTTTTCTACACTTTACCGCCCTTGTCATGTCATAATTTTTCATCATTATCAGTGCTAGTAGTTCTCTTTTGAAATGAGAAATTGTATAATATGTCATAACTTGTCAAATTCGCAGATAACATTGAACGCTTAATTTCACAGAAGTCCCATGAATTATCTACTCATCAACCTGGCAGTAGCGGACATAATCTATGCAATCTTTAACATACCATATATGGTCCTGACACACTCATCCATTCAGCCAAATGGGGCGACTGGAAAATTGTTATACACATTTGGCACCTTTGCATGGGTAGGGGCTGCTTCGTCGGTCTTTACACTTGTCACTGTTGCCGTGGAGCGCTACTGGAGCGTGGTGCACCCCTATGGTGGCAGCAGAAAGAGGCTTACTATGCGCAAACTGAGGGTATGTAGCAAGTCAAACACGCTAATCAATGTAAATTTGCGACAAAATAGTCGGCACCTACATCGCTATATCGTAACTTCATAGTTTACCTACAATTATGGAAAAATTGGAGAACGTTCTTCTTCTGCCGATAGTGATTACCGGTAAATCAATAGTTTTTAGGCCTACAAGGTTAAGAATCCAAACTGGCCGGTAGCAAACCATTTTGCTATTTAATCTCCGAGCGAATTACAATTCCAGCCATCTTACCGCTCGCCCTTGCTGCATCTATAAAGTAGTTATCAGTATGTCACGATGATATTGCTGTCAGTTAAGATCAATTCTGTGCTGTAGTCGTTACTTAATACCTTTACGCAAACTCAAAATGCTTTTGTAGAGTTATGATAGATATCAAACAAATTTCACCAAAGAGTACTAATCAGGACATTGTTTTTTGCTAATTCTTGCAGGCATAGCATTGAAACTTGAAGTTTCAATCCATATCCATCCTCGCCGTCCTTTGCGACAGACGACGAGAATCAGTTTTAAGACGGAATCCATTAGGAATTTGTAGATTTTAATTTTCAGTCAGGGACAAAAATCTTGTACCGAAAAATTTAAACAATATCGCATTCTTTTTTTACACTTTTCAAGGGCTATCGATATAACTAATTATCTGTAATAACACCAAAGACAGTTTCTCATGGGAGCCTGAGAAAGTAGAAGTCATATTTCACAAGAAATGTGAAGACACAGATAAAATTCTGAAAATTTCATGTGTATGTCATTTTGTGAAATTTGACATTTTTCTCGGGCTCCCATAAGAAATTTTCTTTGGTGATATTACAGATAACTAATTATATCTATAGGCCTAGAAAAGTGTGAAAAAAGAATTTTTAAAATGTGCTTGAAATTATTGTGGTACAAGGTTTACGTAGCCTTGGATAACAAAACTGGACAATTTTTATAGAAATTCAATTGATACAAAAAAAAAAGTCTTACACCGTAGCTTTAAGATATCAAATAGCTTGACATAGTTCCTTAAAATTCGTTGATTCGCTCTAATTAACGGCTGCATGTTTCTGGAGAGGTGAATTGACCTTAACGCAAACGTTGATAATTTGTCCTGTATAATTAGTCCGTCTCTGAACTTCCTAGTGTTTGTACCTTCCGGTTTTAGGTCTTGCATCCTGGCTTTTGGCTCTTTGCACTGATATTTGAAATCCCGATTGTTATGTTCGTGGTATGTGAAGAGAAAATCGACTTCCAATTCTGTATCAGGGTGTGGTCTCATAAGAAGGATATACTCCTGGCATTTCTCTCTACATTGCTTGCCTTAGTTGTTATTTCCACTACAGTGATGTTTGCTTTATACTTTCGAGTGGTGTATATTTTGTGGTTCAGGCAAAATAACGATGTTAATCTCTCGCATCAAAAGAGGGTATGTGTTTTAGCGGAGACATTTCAGATTTTATCTAATTTAATGTACATTGAATTTTGTTATTATTTACTAACTTAATGTTTCTTGAGAAACAAGACGAATGAAAAATCACATTACTTGTGGCTCAACTAGCCTGTGTACAGACCCCTCTCCCCTCAGGAAAAGGATGAAGGATTTTTCCTGAGGGGAGGGGGGTCTGTACACAGACTAGACTCAACTAATTTAACATATATGACACATATGATTGAATGTAATTAAAAGGCGTAAAAAAACAATACATGGGTGAAACCAAACGCACACTTCGTGAACGCTTTTAAAAAAAGGCAGCAACGATTAATCCACTCCTGGCGCAAATGCCACAGCAGCAGTCCCTTCGCACTTCAATCAACCTGGCCACTCGATCACAGACATAGAACTTATTCCACTTGAACTTCAACCTAAACTTAGTATGTCACGCCGTAAAGCAAGAGAAACTTACCTCATATAAACATAGTTATTAGAGGAGACTGGTTATGAAAAGCGGCAAACATCAATAATAAAAACAACAGTGCTGCAGTTTATGTTGGAAGCACCCTGAAAGTGCACAATCCTTTGTTTTCTGTTGGCAAATTGTTAAGGAATAAATTAATGCAACGTTTTTATTGGTCAATACAATCAAAATGATAGGAATTCTTTTGAACGTTGTGCACTTTCAGGTCCACAAAAACATATAACAAAGGAGTCTGACGGGTTTCATAACCATTCCACTCAATTAACTATGATATAAAGTAGAGGTAAAACTCTTTCACCAGATGGTTTTACCCGCTAGGACGAACGTTGAACTGTACCTTATCAATCGCTTTATTTTATATTATTTACCTATCTATCATGCCATCTATTGTTTTCATCTTTAGTTTTATCATCAACGTCTTATTTAAATTTAAATTCAAGTTTTAGGAGCCGTTATAGTATTTTCTTTCAGTGTAGCTCTGGCCCCGAGGAAGGCTAATTTTAATTTGTTAGCCGAAATATTGGCCTCAAATAAATGAGCCCTTTGCCGTATTGCCAGCCTTGCATTCAGTAATGTAAATTAGTGACATCCGTAAAAACTAACTATTGAAATCACCAAAATAAACGCGCATGATGGTTTTCTGTTTTTTTCTCACAGGGTGTGTTGAAGGTACGAAAGCGAGTGACGTTAATGGTCATTAGCGTCAGTGTCATATTTGTTATCACGTGGCTCCCAGATTCAATTCTTCACATCGTCGTACAAACAACCAGCATCGAATTGAATCCTTTCATATTTCCCATCTTACATATCATGATCATGTTTAATTCTGCTGTTAATCCATTCGTATATGCTTTAATCAACCAACGTTTCAAAGTGAAGATCAAGAGTATGTTGTTCCCCGGTTCAACTTCATTGGTATCCAAAAATAGCTCAGATTTGGATACACAGAGCATCGAGTTAGCCAACCGAAACATCTAGCCGACGGCTAAACCAACGTCATGTTGAAAAAAAGCAAGGAATTTGTTTTCAAAAACTCTTTTTGATGGCGTGTTCGATTGACTGTATTCCGAATAATAATTAGAAGAAATATAATAAACTCTTAGAAATCACTTGTTTTGGCATTCATTGCATTGCATTATCTAGAAATCTGCTTGATTTATAATATATTATAATATTGATTTATTATATATTATGATATTGATTTATTATATATTATAATATTTCGATGTTGCATTTAGCAGATCAAAACATGCGGTACAAGAGATTTGCAATAAAACTATTGAGTATCCTTGTTCCCGAAAAATATCAATCGAACGCACTGACCCTAAGCCACAGGCAGGCAAGAATGTATTGTCTGATTCGTAAATAAAAGATAATGCTTAAAGGAAAGGAAAACATCGTTTCAACCATTAAGCGGTTATCCTTATTTAGTTAAAGTAGAATAAGATTGTGTTTCGACTAACAGTGGTCATATAGAGGATCAATACTGAGAAAACAGATATTGAAGTACAAGAGAGAGTAAGTACGTCACGAACGACATACACTATTTTTAGGTTGAAAAACTAAAAACTAATAGAACAATAAAAATACATTTGAAAGAGATACAACTTGAATGGTGTGATGTTTTTAAAAACACTTAACCTCTACAAGTTTCAGATGGCCATACCATGAGCCTATCATAATATAAACTCCACATTTTAAGGTGGTGTGGTACGGAGTCGTATTTTTTAAGATCTGATCCTCGAGTAATGTTTGCACTTGTCTCCTTTTATCTGTCTTTTAAAAGTACCCCTATTATTGATGGAAACATTTCCACCATACAATTAGTGAATTTTATCCACAAAATTCGAACCCTCGATATCTCAAAAATCCCGCTTAACGTCTCCCTTCCTGGGCCCAGTTGTTCGAAGGCCGTTAGCGTTTTCGCGGGGTTAAATTTAACCGGGGTTTCTTTTTCTTGTGTGTTCAAAAGCATTTTCTCGGATAATTTTCTCTGTTATGTTTAGAACTTCCAATCATCAACCTGTGGACAGAAAGAATTAAAACTAAAATGCTTTTAAGCTTTCAAATCTGAATTCAAATTTCGCACTAACCCTGGGTTATCTTAAACCAGCTTTGAACAACTCGGCCCAGGTCTTTTTCTTTGCAATTTTACCCTCAATAACTTTTAAACCCCTTTGACAAAGAGTAATGAGTGAAAACTTACTCCATACTTCCTTTCTTCTCAATGGACCTAATTAAACACAGTAATAACACGTGGAAACTTGGATTTTTTGATATAGACACATGCCTTTTTCGTAAGGTAATACGTCAATGGACCTCTTTAGCTTGTTTGTTCTGTTTTGCCAATACAGCTCATGTGATAATACTCTAGAGCAGTGTTTCTTTCAAATGTCACCTTATTCGCGTGCATATTTCGCATCATTTATGAAAAGACAAACGGTCAAGTTCCCCTCGGACCTATATTGGGTAAACAAAACATACAAGGTAAAGAGATCTTTTGCACGATGACGTCATTTTACTACAACCACGAGAATCCTTCAGTTTGATGTTTCTTGTGCAAATTAAGACTATCGTTTTAAATCTCAGCTTCTGGTCGTTGTACTCAAATGTCGTCATCGTAAAAATGGCTTATTAATGGAATTTTTCCTCTTAGTTATCTTGATACTGCTGGCTTATGACTTATCCTAGATTATTTAACAAATTTACATCAATTTTCCATGTTCTGTACTACTGATCTTATCGGCCATAGAATTTTTGACGTCAAATTGTTCAACACTCGAGTGGAATCACGAGCCGTAGGCGAGGGGTCTAACACTGAAAAAGTTTTGAACATTATGACGTCATTTCTATGGTCGATAAGATTACAGATCATGGAAAATTGTTCTCGATTTGTTTTGCAATGCATATTGGAATGATACAAATCCTTTAATTCTATATAATGAAAACATAAATTAAAAAAGTAATAAATTTCAGGCTTCTTAATGTTATCACTGTTGTCGCTGTTGTCACTGTTGTCAGTGTTGTCACTGTTGTCGCTGTTGTCTGATCAACCTGAATAAAAACTAGGCAAACATGTAAGCGTACGATACAGTATTACGCTGACACCGCTGAGGTGATAATCACATGACTTGTTTTTCACAAAATGAAAGTAACAGTTCAATATGTGAACGGAAATTTGCTTTGGATCAGCTGACGGGTAGAATATCATTAAAAATATTTGCATGTTAAAAGTTCCTATTTAATGGGCACCAACTGCAAGCAAAATACGATCAGTTAAAGCAAAGGAGCCTGCTTCATAGTTAATACCAAGCAATACGCGGACTTATTTCATCTTCACTTCAAGGTGATTGCTATATTTTATCTTTTCTTTTCAGTGTTTTAGGAACTCCTTAGCTTGCTTTCGATAAAGCGTATTTCGGAATAAGAATGCGCAGAAATTTGTGACAAATCTCTTCGATCTCAAATGTTCGGACCTTTAGAGAGTTACATTCATCAGAGTTTCCAACAGAGTTCTGGATTTTTTTCCATACAATGAAAGCGCAAACAAGTGATTTTTTGACCTTATTTCATGTATTCATATTCCGGAATAAGGTGAAACGAACGCGCCCTTGGTATAAAGCAATATACCCTTATTTACCAGTATTCTATCTATTTTAAACAGGAATATACAGCCGGATCTGTTGCCTTAGCTTCATTTTATACCCTTTCTGTTTACTGTCATTTTATCAATGCTAAAGTGAGAAGATTAAGTAAATGATAGCTCTGTCTTACGATAGTCATTTATGTTGATGGCAACTTTGCTAAGTATTACTTTTGTCTTTTTTTTATTATTATTATCAAAAGGCTCCCTGTATAAATACAATGACCTTATTACAAGTAGCTCCATGACTGTTGATAAGATAGGTAATTCTTAGTGATTCTCGTCGAGTTAAGTCAATGACTGAAAGACCTCGATCTCCATTTTTTCAAGCTTGAAGTTCCTCTCCAATTCGTCAGTCGTGGGCGATGAATTAGAAAAGATTACGGAATCATACGTTCCACATTGCTTCATAAGTGAACAAGACGGACCTTGTTACATTTTGGTATATTTCTTGGCCGGTTTATATTAAGTGTATTTAACATAAAAGACAAAAATAAACCTGAAAATAAGACATCTTAAGCATGAGAAAACGAGATTGAAAGGACAGTAAATATATCAGCTTTTTCGTTTCCTAAATATTGTCCTCACATTTGCTCAAATACAGCTGTAAACTTTTAAAAAAAACTCAACTCAACCACATGCACCAAATGTTCAGTTAATGCATGACAAACATGACATCATTGACAAAAGGTATCCTCAGTTTTCAGTTATTTTACAAATGTCTCCTTCTTTTTTATGAAAAAGGATTTCAAAAAACAAAATTCAAAATCTACATTACAGATTCCTTTCCACGTTACCGCTGTATGCTTTTCTTTGGTGCATTCGAAGATAGAAAAACGCTTACTAATCGTGTTGTTTTTTTTTCCCGAAATCAGTCCTGAATTGTCAATGATGCGCCGCCGGTATTAATCGCCGGATTTACCACACAATTTCAGGATCTGGTTGCCAGCTGGCTGGGTGGCTCAAATTGCCTCGATCTCATGTCATAATTTTCTCGGCCTGGAACTGGTACCTACTTTGAAGCTATCGCCTTGTTCCCAACGTCACTTCATTTTCTTGGAGTGAAGTTAATAACGGAGCTCTCTCGCGTGCCTAGCGCGCGCAGCGGAGCACCACGGATAAGAAAATTTGGTAATCTATGCATCCAAGACATTTTGGTTCTGAGAAAATCGTCCGTACGTACGTCCACCCGTTCATGTAAGCCGTGATGAAATTTTTCATTTCAAGCAACCGCGCCTTTCGTCGGTAAATCGCATAGCTTCCCTGCCTTTTACAGATAAAACCGCCAACAACAAAAGCCGATTCTTTCTTTCGACTTAATTTTAATGTCTACATTAACGTGGATAACAGAGAAAGAGCTAGAGCGAGAGGTAAAAACCAAAGGAGACCAATTTTATTGGCAGAAAAACGTAACAATTTTGTAGCTGCGGTGAGAAAAAGGAGAAATGCTAGCTGCCGCCAAGGGCTAAATCAGGAGCGGCAGCGAAAAAAAAAGTGAACAGGAACACATACAACATTTCCTCCATAAAACGTGTAACTAGGAAGTTTCTTGAAGTTTAACGTTTAGTCGTGTAAAACAACGGCAAAGAAATGTAAAAAAAAAGCGTGCTTATTAGGAAAAAATTGTGCTACACGTGCAAAGTGTTTTTTTGGCCAATTAGACCTACTGATTTTTTTTTACTGTTTTCGTTGTCTTCGCCTCTTGGCGTTACATGATTTCATATTTTGACAGCGTTATCCTCTCTTGATTTTGTTTAGTAAACTATAGATTTTAACGAGAGCTTCGCTTTTAGCCCTGGCTAACTCTATATATTACCAAAATAGAGACGTGGCATGTTCGTTGTCACAGTTAAGAGAGCTCGGTTTGTTTACCTTTTCGTTTTCACAGTTGGTCAAGTGGACGTCATTTGTGGCCAGCAGCGCACCTGTCTTCGCGAGGTCGGTTTTCTTATCATTTTAATTTTTTTTTCTGCATACCTCGAATAACAATGTAAGCCGGCTAAACTATTTTAGAAGAGATGAAAAGTTGTACTTCAGCCCTAAGGTATTTCCTCTGTTTATGTTGGTAAACCCCAGGAACTTTCTTGAAACAACGAAAAAGGTTGTGAAATACAAGCAGAAATTCAAAATTTCCCATCTCATCCAAAGTCCCTCAATGTTCTGCGTAGGTTTAAAACAACGTTAGTCTAACAAAAAGTTTATTTATTGCTTTATGAAACAACACCTAGCACCTAGCAAGCTGCAAGTGCAAAATACAGTCAAGAGTGTAGTTTACAACTCTCGAGCTGTCTGACTTTATCTCACGGCAAAAAGGTAAAAGCAAGCATTTTTATGG